AGATACTTGACAGAATGTTAAAAGTTGAATCGTAACGTTTCTGATACTGTTTATAAAGTTGCAACAACTCTCATTGAAAAGTTTTAGATACACACTAGGGATTTAGAAGTCTCGTTGAAACGCTTCAAATACAGACCGGAAAGTTACAAGTCTCATTGAAGCGTCTTAGGTACAGGCTGGGAATTTATGGTCTCATTTAAACGTTTTAGATTTAGACTGGAAAGTTACAAGTCTTGTTGAAACGCTTCAAATACAGACCGGAAAGTTATAAGTCTCATTGAAATGTTTTAGGTACAGGCTGTGAATTTATGGTCTCATTTAAACGTTTAAGATTAGACTGGAAAGCTACAAGTCTCGTTGAAACGCTTCAAATACAGACCGGAAAGTTACAAGTCTCATTGAAACGTTTTAGTTACAGTCTGTGAATTTATGGTCTCATTTAAACGTTTTAGATTTAGACTGGAAAGTTAGAAGTCTCGTTGAAATGCTTCAGATAATACAGACCGGAAAGTTACAAGTCTCATTGAAACGTTTTAGGTACAGAATAGGAATTTAAGATAAAGGCTAGGGTGTAACATGTCTAATTGAAACGCTTGAGATAAAACCTCATTTAAAACACTTATGAACAAATATGATATCAGACCATAGTGATAACGATTCGGAGTCATTTTACAGTAGGAAGGACGAAATATTAATAATCAATAATATAACTATTGCAACTGAATATTATCTAAACACAAAATCAATGTGAAATTTTCGTTACGCTTCGCTAAAAGACGGAAAGATTTTAAACTTCGATTCACAACAAAGATAATAAAATTAACACCAGGGAAGAAAACAGAAATCAAAGTAAATACTTCATACACATTTTTACAGGACTTGTTGAAATAAGTGAGGTGTGTCAGAAAGGGGTTTCATTCAAAATTCAAAATACACATTTGTGATAAATTTGATTTTAATGAAAATATTTCGGGACTATCAAACAAATCTGATTTCTTGTATCATTTTATAATATCCTATCGTTCTTTTTCGATATTATTGTACCAGTTTCTTTTCTATGACGAATGTAAAATGTTCCTTTGGCCAGTTCCTCAATATATTAAATTGCTCTAAGAAAAATCTAATTTCGTGGCACGCACGTGAAAGCAAACAAACACACACATCTTCATATTGTAATTTGTAAATATTTAAGATATTTATAACTTTATGTTGAAACCTTGTATTCGGATGATTAAGATGCATATCCTTCTGATCTTGTAAATTTTTATTTACAACAGCATAATCATATTTCGTTATAACAGTAACCATAGCCCCCCAGTGGCACAGCGGTATGTCTGCGGACTTACAACTCTAGAATTCGGGTTTCGATACCCGTGGTGGGCAGAGCACAGATAGCCATTATGTAGCTTTGTACTTAATTGCAAACAAACAGTAACCATAATTTTAGTATCCGAATTAGGAAAGCACGATTGTGGTGATAAAATTTTCTTCAATGCAGCTGTTGATTTAAACAAAAATTATTAAATACACACTCATGACCACTATTATCATTTCTGCTATTTGAACCTACTAGTTCGCACATTTATACAAGGTGTTTTCGGTCATTTTAAAATTTCGAAAATTGAATTTTCACAATTAATATGATTAATAAGAAAGAACTGCAATTTTAGTTGCTATACGAAAACATAATTGTTTCTACATGTTGAGTTTATGTTCGATAGATAGTTTATTATTATGTAGGCTGATCTAAAAATAAATATATAGATTTGAATCTATACTCACAATGTTATAGTTTATTTGTTCCCAACCTTTGTTGTCTAATAAAGATCTAATGTATTTCAGAATAATAAAATCACAGTATTCTCCTACCGCTGTTTTATTTATTCACAAAACATTGCTTTCTCGCTTTATAAGCATATTTCTAAACCATTTTTTTTTAGTTTCATTAATTTATATGATAATAATACCTTATATCACAAACTTCAGATCGAAAATGCAATTAGAATCAGTGATAATCTGAATCACTTTCAGTTTTGCATATCAAATGTCATCGTTTTGTTTTATGAAATTCATGCAACAAATTATGCTCCTTATTTACAAATTGTTTACTGTGATACTTTGCATTTTATGAAACACAGAACGTATTATTTTTTGTAAAACATCAGGCAATTCAATTCTCCGATATTATGACATTTCTACAAAGCAATTATTTATATTTATAAACAAAATCTTTCGAAAACTTGGAATGTTTGCTTCGAACACAAATTTTTATACAATAAAAAAAATGACAGATCGATCATGTTTGTTTGTTGTTAAGCGCAAGGCTACACAATGAGCTATCTGTACTCTGCCCACCACGGGTACCGAAACCTGACTTTTAGCGTTATAAGTCCACAGACTTATTTTGATCCATTGGGGGAGGGCGATAGAGGGATTGCAGGTGGCATGAAAATATACATTTTTACTGAAATTAAAAATGATAAAACTGTATATCTTATATCGATTTTCTAACGATGAATGTCAGAGCATTAGCATTGTTAAGATAAATTCATGTCCGATACATGTCATTGAAAAAAGAAGCTGTTCTCTCTGTTTTAATTTTTAAACCATTCAACAGTTTTATTACTGAAATATTCTGTTGACAGTGAAACCAGTCATCCATTAAACTCAAGTGATATAAATATGTAGAAAATATTGTTAATGTTCTGCCAAATTTCATGAAGTGTGGGAAGGAACCTCTTCTCAAATAGAAACTTTCACAAACGTTATATCTCGTGCGTTATTTCTTTTTCTTTACCAAAAATATACAACTGAGGGCTCCTTTGATGAAGCCATGTTACTAGAACCATGCGGAATGAATGATAACCTGAAAGAAAGCGACGATCGATATTACAAATTACCCCTGATGTTCTATCTATTTTTCATAAATGGTGCTGCCACCTAGAGAGTTTAACGTAAGGTTATAATGAAAACAATATAATCTTTATTGTGTATAATATTGAATATCTAAAATTTATACAGATAGTTTAAGCTTGTAGACTTAAGAATTTCAGTAAAACAAATAACATGAAGCATTAATCATGTCTCGAATCCCCGTCTCACCAAACTTGCTCGCCCTTTCAGCCGTGGGGGCGTTATAATGTGACGGTCGA